CGTTGTTTTTGACCTCCAGATAGCTGCACCCCTTTATCCCCACAGGACGTGTCGTATCCGTCCTTTAATCCGCTGATAAAATCGTGAGCGTTGGCTGCCTTTGCGGCCTCCACGATCTCCGTCTCGTCCATCTCATCGGACGCTCCATATACAATGTTCTCTCTTATGGTCCCACCAAATAACGTTGGCTCTTGGCTGACTAACGCCATGTGTTTCCGCAACGATTTAAGGTTGTACGTCTTTAAATCTCGACCGTCCATTTCCACCACGCCTTTGATTGGATCGTAGAATCTCTCTATTAATCCGATGATGGTCGATTTGCCTGACCCACTTTGTCCCACCAACGCCGTAGATTTTCCCGCTTCCATCTCAATCGAGAAGCCTTGGAAGATCATCGCATTGGGCCTAGTTGGGTATGCAAAATCCACGTCACGAAATTGAATTCGACCTGTTATGTTTTCTACTTGCCTGTCTTGAGGAACTTGGGGCTCGATTTTTGTGGTCCGGTCCAAGATACCATAAATGGACCCGATTGCATACAAACCCATGGCAAGGTCTGATGTCAGGCTCCATTTTTGTGGTCCGGTCCAAGATACTGAAAATGGACCCAATTGCATAGAAACCCATGGCAAGGTCTGATGTCATACTTCCAGCATCGGCTATGGTTTTGCCGGTGGCCACCAAAATTATGATGGTTTCAAAGACTGCTCTTGCTGTGACGTGGCCCTTGTTGAAAAGCATGCCTCCCCACAAAAAGCTAACACCCCAAATGAGAGTTGTGATGCTCTGGGCAAACCCGAGCCCAATGCCCGCGACCCACGACTGTCTTATGCTCTCTCTACGTGGGCCTTCTTGGGCCTGTTCTAGCATCTTCAGAATTGTGTTCTGGGTTGAGGAGGCAGTGATGGTGCGGATGTTGGAGACTGCCTCGGCAGCAAGCTTGCAACTTTCCTCTTGGGCTTTGATGGCTTTTGTGGACATTGTTTTGAGTAGGACTCGCTTTGCATACAGGCTGGCAATGAGTATGGGTTGGGCGGCAATAATGACCACGGCAAATCTCCATGCTATTATTAGCCCCATTGTCCATGCTATGGCGACGCCTGAGATGGTTTGTATAAGAAGACCCATTCTATCACCCACTAAAGATCTCACCTGCCAATAATAAGAGCATTGTCAAAATCCCATTTGGTTTTATACAGACTAGCAAGTTGTCATGATGATTTGAACTTGAGACCATTATTTATAAGTCACAACTTTTTTTTCACAGGATTAAACCTCGTTAGCTAATTTTAAAGAGCTAAACTTTGCTAGTGTTAGATTCAAATTTTAAAAAAAAAGATTATTTGGTACCCAGCACCGTAATATTTCCTCCATCAACAATGCATGAAGTATTGTAAATTGGTATCGGGTACCAATCAATGAGCAAATGTTTTTAGCAATAATGTTGAAATAATTAGACCTACCATTTCAGCTTCTTTGGTGAGCCTAGAGCAAATGGCACCGCTGGAGTTTTGTCGGTGCTCGAACCATTCAACTTCAAAAGTGAGTATCTTTGAAAGCAGCCTCTCCCTAATCCGATTGCTCAAGAGCTCTCCCATGTATGCGAAGTTGTAATGCTGGATGATATTCATCAGCATTGAGAAAACGGAGAGCCCAAAAAAACACAACGCAAAAGTCCTTATTTCCTCTTCCATCTCATCATGATTTGCCAAGAAAAACACCGATATCGTGGTCCCCATGACGAACCCGTACACCGGCTGAACCGCTCCGAAAAGAACAGCACTCAAACACCCTAAAATCGCCTGCTTCCGCTCTGGAAGACTCATAGACATCAATCTCCAAAATGAAGCTCTGGGTTTGATCATGTTGTTTGGATTTTCTTTAGCAGTAACGGCAGTACAGTCCAATCCAGCGCCCTGGGGGGTCGAATTTAATTGGCTCGCAGATGATGGAAGAGCGGGACTATTAGTACTGTTGTTGCAGTGACGTTGATCTTCTGAAGTTTCTTTTGGAATTTGTTGGAGACGGACAAATGAGGCGTAAAGCCCATTTTGGTTTTGTATTAGCTCGTCGTGTGAGCCAGTTTCTGTGACGCTACCATTTTGCATGACGGCAATAACGTCGGCGTTTCGAATGGTGGACAGGCGGTGTGCGATGACTATGGTTGTTCTGCCCATGGCTGCCTTGTGGAGAGCCTCTTGAACAAGCCTCTCTGACTCAGAGTCTAATGCGCTGGTGGCCTCGTCAAGAAGAAGGATCTTGGGTTTTCTAACTAATGCTCTTGCAATGGCAATCCTCTGCTTCTGTCCTCCTGATACTTGAATGCCTCTCTCACCAACCTGTTGGATTTGATTTGATGAAGATTTGCTACTATTTATTTAAGCATTATCTTATGGATTTACCAATTTATTTATTTATACTAGTAATAGTTGAGCCGGCTTACTATCCCTATCCTGACCAAGTGGCCTATTGCACATATGATTTGCCAATTTATTATTACTGTGATAAATTGTTGTTCTACTAATTGCTAGTAGGGAAAGGGAATGAAAATTAACCTGGGTATCATATCCTTGAGGGAGCTGAGATATGAAATTATGAGCATTGCTAGCTTTGGCAGCCTCAATTACTTCCTCAATTGTACCATCTTCCTTGCCAAAGAGTATATTCTCCTTAATGGAGGTTGAGAACAGAGAAGGCTCTTGGCTTACTGATGCCATTTGTGATCTTAGCCACTTGAGCTGCAGCTTATCAATGGCAATCCCATCTAGAGAAATCTCTCCCTCAAGAGGGTCATAGAACCTTTGCAACAGTGAAATCACTGTGGATTTTCCTGAGCCACTAGGACCTACCAAAGCAATTGTCTTTCCTGCTGGTATGTTTAGGCAAAAGTTGTTTAGTATAATGCTATCAGGCCTTGATGGGTAGGCAAACTTGACCTGTTTAAATTCAACTTCACTTGAAACATTTTCCAGAATTTTGCCTCTCATGTTGTCTGAATCAATCTGGGGAACTAGTTTTGTAACTTCCATAATACGCTCACCAGCTGAACATGCTTCAGTTATGTACTTGAGGTTTGATAAAGCAGAACCCATTACCCTGTTTCTCAAAGAACATTGGAAGTTAACCCATCATTTCATTAAAGAATAAAAACCCAATTACAATTTCTTTTTAAGATGGCATAAAATTCCATGTTATAAAGTAGAATTGAGGAGAAGTTATCGCTTACAATCCCCCATTGACTATTGAGACGCCAACTGCAAAAACATTTCCTCCGAGCGCGCCGTGGTATATAATCATTCTGCTACCAGAGTAAGACATGACAGCCCAAACGGAAAAGACAATGCCAGAGCTACCAATGGCCAAGCCTTTAACCAAGCCTTGCCTCAACCCCAGCTTAATAGTTCCATGTAGAGCTGCTGAGAATTTTTGAATGGTATTGTTCTCTCCAACAAATGCATAAACAGTCCTAATGGAAGATATTGCCTGCTCTGCTATTGTCCCAGCTTTAATGCATTCTTCTCTTCTCTTTTTTGCTAATTCAGTTAAAGTTCTTCCACAAATCAAACCGGGAACTACCAGAAGCAAGGAAAATGGGAGCCCCAACATAGCCAGTTCCCACACCATGAAAAATGCTACCATGTAACCCGCAACGAACGTAGACACTTTGCTTACAAAATCTGGCACCTGATCATTCAAATTCATTATATGAAAAAAGGAGTTAGGACAAATTTCTGTTTCTGATATGTTATAACTTAATAGGAATTAGGAAAATTGACTTGAATGTAGAAACCTTTTCACTTAGAACATCTTGAATGATCTGAATATCATTTGAGATACTAGTGACGACCTCCGAGGTGCTGGTTTCATGTAAATCAAAGTAGCCCACGTCTTGCCTTAACACTGCTTTCAAATACCTGCTTCTCATTCTTGCAGCTTGTCTTTCTGCTGTTCGTGTCCAACAATATCCCTCTAAAATAACAAATTACACTGAGAACACTATTCGATCTGAACTTGATTTGCATATATCAGTTGTTGCAAAAACAGAACAAAACAAAACCATGATCATGTTTATGTAGTTAAATCGATTACGCACCTAAGAAGCAAGCAACCCATGAGGCCAAAGCTAAGTACACAAACGCTAGCATTCCGTTCTGCATGAGGCCATCCACAACAAAATCCAAAGATTGTGATTAGCTTTTTCTGTATCTTTTCAGTGTTTGTGCATGTGTGAATGTGAAAAATGAGAGAGAGAGAGAGAGAGAGAGAGAGAGAGAGACCTTATTCATGTTATGGTGCAAATTACGTGCATCCACATCTGAGGCTCCAGCTCTGTCTGCTCTGCCCATATTGTTTATCATTCGGCTATTTAAAAGAATCACCAGGCGTGAAGTGAAGCCATCGCCTATGGCTCCAAGCAGCCCCAGACTCATCAACCACTTGTCAACTCCATCCGCATGCATGAAAATGGACCTTATTGACCCATTTTTCTTCTTCTTCTTCTGTACTTCATAACTAGTTTTCTCTGAACTGCTCATTCTCACTCTTTCAGTCTTTCTCAGATAACAAACAACAGGTATAATAAGTAAAATATGTCCTCACACTGCCTCCCTCTCTAATATATAACTTATTTTTCTTTTAATTTTGGTAACAAAAAATTTGGGCCATCTAAACCCAATAACTTTTTTTGTTCACCTTTGTTGGAAGAAGGGAACATGATGCTTAGAAGCTCACCACCTTAGATTGCATATTTGTTCACCTTTGTCAACTCCACCGTACAGCTTTTTAATCTTCGTACGGAGACTGAATTGCAGAATTTAAATTGATAACCCATAATCTAAATCACCTAGTATGAGGTCCAATAATTTTGAATTTATTCTATTCGACCAAAAAAGAATTTATTCCAGAATATTTAGAGCATCTCCAATAGGAGAAATTATACAATAGTACCGTTCTTGATGGCTCTCTCATCGACGTCTCATTGTTGCTCATCCTGCTTTCAGGTTCAGAATTTTTCACATAGTGGTAGTTCTCACTTGGAATCGGATGCCATATAGGTGTCAACCAAGGGCACCCATATTCGTTGTTGAGAGTTTTCCCTATCAGCAGGTTCCAATTTCTTGCTTCGGTTGGGTTTTCTGCTCCGAGTACATTTCGGGTCTTCAAAGGCATTGGTTTATATTAATTTCTGCTCCTGAAATCTGCAAGCTAAATTGCTAAGTTGTGGCATTGGTTTATATTAATTTCTCATATCAATTAGAGAAAAAAAATTAAGAAATTATGAACACTATTAATTAAGTCCAGGTTTATAACATACCCAACAACATGCATGTCTGCCGCATCCTTAAGATTCAACCACTCATCCAAATCCACCGCCAAGCTTCCTATGGGAGACCTTCCAGCAACATTCCAAGTCCCCACAAAGACTCTGAAAAATATATACCAATATGTTAAAAATCCATTATGCATAATTCCCTTTGAGATTTTTTCTTCTTTTAACAAATTACCTCAACTCATTAGTTGAAGTGCATGGATCCATCTCCATGGACTGAAAGAGAATATCATCCAAGTATCTTCAGTTTCGTCTTCACCCCCATCAGAAGAGAAAAAAATCCAGTAATCAAACAAACAATTGAGTCTGGATCGAATGCTATGGACAGAAGACGAGGAGGAAGAAGAAGAAGAAAAGAAGTCTCCACAGGTAGAAATAACAAAACCTGAAACTTGACTCAGTTGATAAGGGTCGGCTCTCTTGTGGTTTCCTTTGAACCACTTTCTGAACCGTCTTCTTGGATTATGATCCTCGCTGTCCATGGCTAATTACAGCAGGGTCTCGTAAGTCCATGCAACAATTACAAAAAGATAGAGCACTTTGTGGACAGGCTTTGTGCAACTTCCTGTATCTTGCTGATCAGACGAAAGCTGTTCACCTCCTAGCATGGCTGATCTGGTTCCATTTGCTGTACCGGACACAAAAACAAAACGTGGATTTAGCTGTAAAAATCATTGTATCTACCGCCTTATGCGCAAGCAATTGAAAGCCTAGAAAGAGACAAACACAAGAAGGTCATACAAACTATGGCTCTCCAGCGGCAACCCCAAGAGAGAAGGCATACCCTACACTACATATAGTCAAATATGGCTAGGAATTAGTGTATCTATGAAAAAGATTAAGTTCTACGTCCCCTTTGCTTGATGATTAGGGTTGCTTGGTTGGTGCTTGTCACATTCGTCTTGTGAATTTTAGGTGACAATTAGTTCATTCAAGCTAGTCGTTGATGTATTTTGGAACCCACTTCTATCAACGGCTCTCTCGATGGTGAATCCATTTGCACCAACCACTCTTCATTGATTGATTGAATAGAGGTGGATTAGTACTAATTTGGACCTCACCGCTTGGGGTTTATGTATGATAAGTTGCTTTCCCAACTCTTGATAAAATCATCACACCATCAGTCCATGTGATGCCATGGATAATGTTGGCCCGTTGCAGTAATGGCACCAGCTGCTATAGGTTTGGATTTATTGCATGAGCACATGAAATACACCGTGAGCGTGACAACAAAAAAATAAAGAGGAAAAGCAAGATCGTCTATGGTTTCAATAACGCAGAATAAATAAATAAATAAAAGTATATACATGGACCCAAAAAGAGACCCCCTTCTGTTTTCTCTCAATTCCGGGGCTTGATTTGGACTAGGGCTCTGTGACATATTAATGAATTAAATTGTGTTGTTTTCATGGGTCGAGACATTCTAGCGGGAGAAGTAGATGCGATTTGAGTCTTTACGGATACCTTTCAACCTCAAACTATAATGAGATAAAGAAGCTTCAACCCTCCTTGGGACCATTTGCTTCATGTTCACATCATTACCCGTGAAATGACAATATTGCCCTACCCCTCAATCTTCATATGATTGTTATTGCTGCTACCCCACAACAATGTAGGCTTGGGGTCCCCTCCCTCCACAAGGGCATTCAAGAGGGTACACCGTCACAATTGCTTGCTTATTTTTCTTGGTCGAAAGGTTCCTTCAGAAAACCAAAAAAATATTTATACGTTTTAGATTAGTAGTAGAGTTAAACAACCGGGGTTTTTGGACGAGGGGCTTATAACTCATATGATTAAAAATAGTTACCCTTTGCACGCGATGTAAACTTCCTTATATCCAAAAAAACAAAAAAAACCCAAGTTGGGAAAGTTTTATCCAAATATGTCAAAGGGAATTAAGAAGTTAGTCAAAAGATACAGAGTGGAACCAAGATTCAGTTTGTTTATTCAGATACAGAGTGGAACCAAGACTAAAATGAAATTAGAAGTGATGCTCGAAAAAGCACGCCTGTTTGCTGTTTGATGCAATTCATCATCAGAAAATGACCCCACATGCCGAAATTACATCACCAGCGGCAGCAGCAGAGGCATCAGTTAAAACAGAGAATCATTCTTTTGGTTCTTTTGGGTTTCTGCGTAATCCAATCCAATTTTTCATAAAAAGAAGAGATTTGAAATCTACAGGCTACAGGTCCTTTGATGTTGAAACAGTAACCCTTTTGTTCTCAATGTCTAAGTTTCATTCAAATGCAATAACCAGAGTCTAGTGCTGTGAGCAAACCCTGTTGGTGTCACGCGACATTGCTTCAGATTTCACTTTCTTTTTTTTGGGTCATGCTAGGGAGACCAACTTGGGAGACCAACTTGGGTACCAACTCTCTAATAGAGGTGGAGCCCACCAATACAATGGGTCCCACGCTCTATTAGAGAGTTGGTATCCCAAGTTGGTCTCCCTAGCATTTTCCTTTTTTTTTGGTGGGGCTAAAGAATCAAGTCAAGTATCTTACATTAAATGGTATCAAAATAAAATCTTTCAAAAATGACTCAGATTTTCAGAAATTACACAATTCACTATCCCATCGAAAACAATAGATACGCATAGCATTCATTTGAAACGGTAATGGTTATTATTTGTTAAATTCATTCTGTGAATTGTCTTATTTCTTCTATAAAAATGATTTGTTTACATGGTGACTCGTTTGAACCGTTTGCTGTGCTATGAGAATGAATGAGAAATAACAAGATTATAAGCATCAGCTTGAAATATGCTTCACTTCTAAAAATGTGAACCAAACTAGAGCTTACTGAAAACCCGGAAAGGATAAGTGAGAGAGGCAGCATTTCTATTCGAAAGGAGAAATTTTGACAGGAATGGGGAGGTGTCAACCTGTCAGGTTTAGCAACTGTATCAGATTGTAAGATAGAATATCATTATGTAATCAAAACTAACAACTTTTAGATTTTACTACTGCAGATTTATAAATCTCTCTCTCACTCACTCTCTCCCCTGATGCAATGCAGCCAGCTGCTCGTCCAATTTCTATGGAAAATCATCTCTCAAAAATCAGTTCGATGGTCCATCGTATCCAACTTAACACTCGTTAGATAGCAGAAGCCATCATTGTTAAGACCATTTTTTCCCAGATAAGGATATGAGCTGCCAACAAATAAAAGATGAAGAGATCTCAATCATCCCGTAACAGTAACTTAACAAGTATTTAGGCAGTGAATTTATAAAACAAAAGGTTAATAAACACCACCATATATTAAAGCACATATATGTGTCTTCAGCAATCATGTTATGGTTCTAGCCCTGGGAAATAAAGCTATATAATATCTTTCTAGTCATTTGAATTAAAGACAGTGCAAAGTGATCTTCGTCCTTGCGTGCTAATACAATTTCACGGATATGCAAAATAAGGTCAAGTTATTTCAGTTTTTCAGTCACATTTAAGGGAGTTAAGAGAGGGATTGTTGGAAACCAACCTGTCGAGCAACCTGAGCCAGTCGCCGGTTGTCCCTAGAAGATTCGTTCATCATCTGCGGCTCTTGTACAATGCATTCGCTCTCTTCCATCCTCCTCTTAGAAGTGCTCCCTTCAAAGCACTTTCCCCTTTTTGTTTTGTTTTTTTTTTTTAAAAAACCCTGGTCCAAAACGACGTCGTTTTGGCTAGGCTTTGTTTATAAAAAAAAAGAGTGTATGCGTGCTGCGCGCAGCAGCCAGCAGCGCAGCGCCCAGGCCATTCCGACATTTCATCGAACACTTTGCGTGCGTCTCTAGTTTGAGCAGAGGTGCAACTCCAGCACCTCTAATGGAGTTTTTCGGCGAGCGGAGGTGCAAGTGCACCTCCTTGCGCCTACACAGGTCCGCCACTGGGTGCTCACCACCTCAGATTGCATATACAACTACAGCTTTTTAATCTTTGTACGTAGACTGATTTGCAGAATTTAAATTGATATCCCAGAATCAAAATCACCTAGTAAGAGATCCAATATTTTTGAATTTATTATTGCATATTAAAAGCATTTCCAATAGCAGTAGCAAATTAAAGTTTGTTGATCTATGTGGCAATTTGGAAAGGTTTATTTGCTACTTGAATAATTTTTGCTGCAACAGACTCTTCAATTCAATGAATGCAATATCATGGAAAATAATGAAAAATAGGAAAACATGTGAAAAATGTCTATGTATTTATTATCTGAAAAGAAAAAAATGCATGTTTTTTACATTATAAAGGTAGGTTTTGTTTTTCTAAAGTAAAATTAAATGTTTGAAGAGTCAAAGTCAACTTACTAGTCTCAAAGAGAGAGAAAGAGGTTGGAGCTTTGATGACTGAGTTTGAAGAGACTGTTGGAGAGAGTTTTTTTGATGTGGTTCACTTATTTTAAAATTCCAAAGTTTTTGAAGAGGCTGTTGGAGATGTTCTTATATTGCAAAGTTTATGCAAAGTTAAAATTATCTAAAAGGGGTAACCATTTCCATTATATTAACTAGTCCCTTGACACAAGTTCATAGGTGTGCCAATCGGTTTTTTTTTTTAATTTTTTAATTTTAGAATTAAGAAAGATAAAATGGGTAGTTGTGTTCCATAAAAATAAGACTCATTAACTGATTTTGTTTTTATTCTTTTTTTTTTAATATGAAAAAGTATATATTTACCTTATTATCCTCATTTAATTTTTATTTCCTAATGTTTGAATTAACCAAGAACATTTTCTGGTATTTTGAATATTTCACAATTCTCGACCTTTTATTTTATATATATAGATGAAAAACACCATTTGGTATCTTATAGTGGAGATGGAACCAAACAAAGTGACAACATAACACTCATTATGCGCTACCCTCTGTTTTTTTAATCATGCATCTCCAATAACAATGGCTTCACGTTAAATCATCCCTACAATTTATTTGGCATCCATTTTATATAAGTTTCTTAAGTTTAAGTTCTTAACTTATGTCACTCATGAGCAAGGTATTAAATATCGATAATATCTAATTTTTTGGGGTCCGATATTTTAACAACTAACCATAGTGTTATCGTCAATATATCGATATTATCCCGATAATATCGGGAAGATATTTTCAACATTTTTATGAATGATTTGGGCAATATATCGAGATATTATCGATAATATCCCGATAATATCCCGATATGAAACCCAAAAATATTTATATACATGGTATTTGTGAAACCATTTTACTCCTTCAACACCTTAACCACCATATCACTTATGTTTTTGTGAAAATACTAAAATATTTATATATATACATGGTTTTGTTTTGAATTCTTTTTGCAAGAAATAAATTTTCACATGAGATGAGTAGTAACTATGGTTATACTCATAACCAACCATTTCCCTACCCTTCATATCCCATTCCTGTTGGGATGGAATCAAGCGACTCATGGAAAGAATCCGAGACTCAATCTTCAAATGATTTTGCTTATGGACAACGTCAACCAATCTCGGATCCATATGGGTGGCATGTTAACAATTACATGCAAAACTATTTTGGGGATTTATCATTTGATGACTACTCTTCAAAATATACTTACTCTACACATAGAGATGATGAAGATAGTGAAATTTTTTAACCTCATAGGAACTCTATGTGGTACTAAGTCACTCATGTATCTTACCATGCAATGTATAAAGTGTAAAATATTGTAGTAATTCATTATATATAAACGATTATGGTGTGTTTAATCTTCTTTCATTAATTACTACATATTTTCTACACTTACGGTGTTTGCCAGCTCGCTATATAATCAACTTAAATCAGTTAAATCCATCATGCAATGCATTTCCTTCCAATTTTTTGTGATAAACTAATAGATAATTGACTAAATAAACATCCTGCAAAGTTTCAATAAAAATTTCCAAGTTTTTCTTACAATTTCCGTGGTTTTTATTCAATTTTTTCCGATACTGATAATATCCCGATATTTCCTGCGATATTTCCGTATTTTTTGACTTCTGATATTTCCGATACCTCCGATATTTAAGACCTTGCTCATGAGATCATTTGCGATAATATGCTTATCATTCCTTTTGTTTTTCTCTTCTTTTTTTAACAAATAGGAAGACCAAATTCATATGTGATCTGATTTGACACCAATAAAAATATCATTTTACAGAGAGTAAGACAGCACTCGATCAATAATACTACCTTTTGTTCTTGAAAGGGAATTATTATTCGGAGTGCAAATAACAAAAAAGAGAAAAGAAAAAGAGATGAAAGAATCTATAGAAAAATAAGTGGGCCTCGTCTTGGGCTTGAAAGAGCTCTGGTTGATTCTCAAGTGTGCAAAATCGAAGCACACAGCCATGGCGGGAAGTGACCCACTGAAGCAGCTCTTAAACTTAATTCACGATTCCGCCTCCGAGAAGTCGCACGGAAGTACAGTACAATACCCGCACACATTTTCCTTTTCTGCATTTGCTTATTTGTTTGGTTCCTGAGAAAATGTAAATGAAAAGGAGAAAAAATAAGAAGTCATGATCTCCTTTTCTAGTCGCATTCGTTTATATAATCTCACTAAAGGCGGTTTTCAGTGCTAGTTATCCAATTACAAAAGCGACTTCATAGGCTTTCGCTTTCCCGTTAGAAAACCGAACTGACGCCTCTCTCATCTCCTCCTCTCTTCTCCTCTCCGTCATCTTCGGTAGTGAAAGAAGACAGAGGTTGGGGTCTATGGAGAAGGAAAAGACTCAAAAGAGAGGGAAAATGGACGGGTTGGCTTTGGCCTGTTTTCTTTTCAAAAGTTTTTTAAAATTTATCCTCAAAAAGTAAAGTACACAATGAGTGAAGCAATTGATTGCTAACTTTTTTTTTATTGGTTCTGATTTTTTCACTCATCTTTTGTCCACTTCACTTGCTTTTGTTTTTTTAATACTTTTTGTTATAACATATAAGAGACTGTAAGTGGACAAAAGATGAGCGAGAAAATCAACTCCTTTTTTTATTTATCAATTCTCACATTAAGAGCTAAAAGTAGGGCTTTTGATAATCATTTTAATGTTAATTTTTAGTTTTTATTTTTTGTGCTAGAGTATAGAGGAAAAAAGGGAGAATTGAATTGAGAATGAAAATGAAAATGAGATTGATAGGGAAGATGAGATGGGAGGATGAGAGAGATGAGTAACAAAAGTGAAAACAAAAACTAAAAGCTTTGTTACTCCTCTCTCTCATCCTCACTCCTATTCTCACTCTCATTTTCCTCTATACTCTAGCACAAATAATGAAAACTAAAAATTGTATCTCTTACTCTTCTCCCCTCATGTCTTTATTCTTTGTCTCTTCTCAATCTATCTCCCTATTTTCTCTCTTTTCGATCTCTCTCCCTTTTCTCTTTGCTTGATATTTGTCTCTTTATCTTTGGGATTTCTATGATTTTGGTTGGGCCATTAGTTTTTATGATTTATGCGATGAGATTTCTTCAAATGGTTAGTTCCTGGGAATTCTATCCTTGATTTTGGTTGTGTTGGCGAGTCCTTATTTATTTAGGATTGTGGTTACTTACCCGTTTATTTAGTCCTATTATAATTGAGATTTATTTCCTACTTTTGTCTTTTTTAGGGTTAACATATCTTTGTACTTCTTTATACCTCCATATTAGAGAAGAATACATATCTGAAAATTCTCATTTTGGCATGATACGCTCTTGTGCCCTATGTTTGACCTTGCCTTGTCATGCCCTTACCTTACTTTTCCCTATTACCTTAACGTATGCCCATGAAGATATTACCTATTTCTTCAATTTAAATTAATATCCCATAATTTAAATCGCCTTTTATGGTATCCAGTTTCGAATTTATTCTAGTGTATTTACTATTTATATAGCAAAGTTTATGCAAAGTCAAAAATATCCACAAAGGGTAATAGTTTCCATTATATTAATGAAAAACATCATCTGGTGTGTTATAGTGGAGATGGAACGAAACAAAGTTACAACAGAAAACTCATTGTGCGCTACCAACTAAACTCTTTTTAATCACGCATCTCCAATAACAATAACTGCATCTTAATTTCCCTCCCTAAAAAATATTGTAGGCATCAATTTTATACTTTATTAAAACTAAGTTTTTTATTTTTAATAATCAAATAGAAACTTTATTAGATAAACTTCAACAGTACAATCAAAGACATCAACAAGATATCTAAAATACCAATCCCAAGAGGACAACAAACTAACATGCTAAAAGCAAAATTAATGCGGACAAAAGCCTCATTAAAACTACTAGCCCACATCACCACAATTAACCATAAGCCCAAACAAAGCCCACAAACCTAACATAACTAAAACCCTAAAACAACCCATAAGCCTAAATGAACCCTACTACCACCACCTGAAGAAGCGCCGTCGCGACCACACTCACCATCGCATCCGTAACATATATGGGGAAAAAATATGATTTTCAGCGATCTACTTGCGCATAAGAGCGAACAAATAAACGAAAACAACAATTTTGACAAAGAATGATAGAGTGATTTGCAGCCACCTCCGTCAAAGACGATGTAAAATCAAATTTAGAGAACATGAATGGCGTTAGGGAGCGGGTTTTGGGAGTAGGATTTGATTGATAACATAAAC